CTTCATATCCATCTTAATTAGTCATTGTGTTTTCGCATAAATTTGGAGATAAGCTGAGAAATGATTTCTAATAACAATTTTTTATTAGGAAACAGACTATTTACTAGAATATATCTGGGAAGCTCAAAAAAACAGTGTATAACGAATATACTATGAAAAGACTTGCTCCTCCCTCATAAGAAGTGTGTTTCATCAGACCAGAAAACCTTGAGTAAGACTATTATCAGGCTCTTCCAGGAGAGTTTTGTAAAGAGACTTACCGTCGCTGAAACCGTACCACAGGGTCTTCAAGGAGGTCACTACAGTCTACAGTTTTCCCCTTTTTTATGACATTCGGATGCTTTCTTCTCATTAGCCATCCCATGTGAGCAAAGAATAATCCTCGGTTAATGTCGTGAGGATCAGCGTTGGTTTCGGAAAACTTGTGATGCACTCGGTGGTCACGTGACCATTCATAAATATCATTCTAACAAAGGAAAGGGAACAAACTTCTTATATGTTATAGTTTATATAGTAGAACAAACTTCTGATATGTTACAGTTTATATAGTAGAACAAATTTCTGATGTGTTATAGTTTATATAGTAGAACAAACTTCTTATATCTTATAGTTTATATAGTAGAACAAACTTCTTATATGTTATGGTTTATATAGTAGAACAAACTTTTTATATCTTATAGTTTATACAGGCGAACAAACTTCTTATATCTTATAGTTTATGTAGTAGAACAAACTTCTTATATCTTATAGTTTATATAGTAGAACAAACTTCTTATATCTTATAGTTTATATAGTAGGACAAACTTCTTATATGTTACAGTTTATGTAGTAGAACAAACTTCTTATATGTTACAGTTTATATAGTAGAACAAACTTCTTATATGTTACAGTTTGTATAGTAGAACAAACTTCTTATATGTTATAGTTTGTATAGTAGAACAAACTTCTTATATGTTACAGTTTATATAGTAAAACAAACTTCTTATATGTTACAGTTTATATAGTAGAACAAACTTCTTATATGTTACAGTTTGTATAGTAGAACAAACTTCTTATATGTTATAGTTTATACAGCAGAACAAACTTCTTATATGTTACAGTTTATATAGTAGTACAAACTTCTTATATGTTACAGTTTATATAGTAGAACAAACTTCTTATGTGTTATATTTTTCATAGTAGAACAAACATCATACATGTTATATGTTTTATAGTAGAACAAACTTATTATTTGTTATAGTTTATATAGTAGAACAAACTTATTATGTGTTATAGTTTATATAGCAAAACAAACTTCTTATATGTTATAGTTTATATAGCAGAACAAACTTCTTATATGTTACAGTTTATATAGTAGAACAAACTTCTTATATGTTATAGTTTATATAGTAGAACAAACTTCTTATATCTTATAGTTTATATAGTAGAACAAACTTCTGATATGTTACAGTTTATATAGTAGAACAAATTTCTGATGTGTTATAGTCTATATAGTAGAACAAACTTCTTATATGTTATAGTTTATATAGTAGAACAAACTTCTTATATGTTATAGTTTATACAGCAGAACAAACTTCTTATATGTTATAGTTTATATAGTAGAACAAACTTCTTACATGTTACAGTTTATATAGTAGAACAAACTTCTTATATCTTATAGTTTATATTGTAGAACAAACTTCTGATATGTTATAGTTTATTTAGTAGAACAAACTTCTTATATGTTACAGTTTGTATAGTAGAACAAACTTCTTATATGTTATAGTTTATACAGCAGAACAAACTTCTTATATGTTACAGTTTATATAGTAGAACAAACTTCTTATATGTTACAGTTTATATAGTAGAACAAACTTCTTATATGTTACAGTTTGTATAGTAGAACAAACTTCTTATATGTTATAGTTTATACAGCAGAACAAACTTCTTATATGTTACAGTTTATATAGTAGAACAAACTTTTTATATGTTACAGTTTGTATAGTAGAACAAACTTCTTATATGTTATAGTTTGTATAGTAGAACAAACTTCTTATATGTTATAGTTTATTAACATGGGAACAAACTTCTAATATGTTACAGTATATATAGTAGAACAAACTTCTTATATGTTATAGTTTATACAGCAGAACAAACTTCTTATATGTTACAGTTTATATAGTAGAACAAACTTCTTATATGTTATAGTTTATGTAGTAGAACAAACTTCTTATATGTTACAGTTTATATAGTAGAACAAACTTCTTATA